ATTGAACAGAAGGTAATTGAATAGCTGTAGGATTGTTTTTTAGCTCAATTTTGTGATTTTTTTGTGCGTACGGATAATTGTTTATTCAATTAATTTTGAATTCATCTATTCCCGTTGGATGTTTGCTGTTGTCACTTTATTATGTAATTCTAATACTACGATCAGGTAGTTGATGAGAAGAATTTGTATGTAGTTCTGATTGCAATTTTGATGAGAAGAATTTGTATGTAGTTCTGATTGCAATTTTGATTCGTAATCGAGTTTTCTGGTTTCAATGTAGATTTCAGCACGATTCGGTTGATATTCGTGCAAAACGCTGTTCGCATCCCATTGGTATATTACCTGGGATTGGGGATACGAAAACGATCACGATGTAGAAATTAAAAAAATTTCCATGAGCTCAGTAATGTTATTGGGCAAATGAAAATATCACAAGTTACTCATTGGCATTTGTAATATACTAAGCCGACTGTTAGGCGATCGGATTTTTCTGGTTTCAATACAAAATGCAGCATGGCTCAGTTGATAGTCATGAAAATCGCCATTCAGATGACATTAGTTATTACTTGGGATTTGGGATATAAAAGACTATCACGATGTATCGCCTGAAAAATTTTCCGGAAGAGTTTTGAAATGTTGTGGGCAAAAAAATCACTAGTTACTCGTCCGGGCAGCCAACCAATACAGTATTTGTTGCATTTTTATTGGCAGTTCTCTGTCTAGATTTTCTTCAAATTTTTGTATTTGTGCATAGTGTTATTTTGGAATAAGATGTGTCGGTTCTGAGCCTATTCTATTTCTTATACCGAAATCATCGTTTCTATGAATTCCTTACTTTGACTATATTATAAAATAGGTTCTGGATGCAACGGACGATGAACCTTGGGGTCCTCATGGCACAGTATTAGCAGAGATAGCACGGGCCACACAGAAATTGTAAATCCTGTGATTTTCATTGATCATTATTTTCTGCATTTCATACGTTTCTTTCATGAATTTGTTAAAGAAAATGAGTCTCGTTCATGTTCTTATGTCTGGTGTTTGAGATATTCAGCAGCGAATGTCAGATAGTTATGGATGCCCTTTGGACAAGATTGACCGAGACTGGGAGGAATTGGCGTTTTGTCTACAAGGTAGCTGCTAAACCTTAATACTGTATTTTACTTAACTGAATGAGTAAAACTAGAGCTCAAACATTTTTTTTTCTCTTTCTTCAAGTTAATTTTCTTTTGAAGCATAGGAATGAACTAGTATTCTTCTTTGCTAGGCATTGACTGTTATAGAGTATCTGGTGGCAAACGGATCTGAGCGTGCTCTTGACGACGTCATAGAACACACTTTCCAGATATCTGTATGCATCTTCTTTCCTTTCATATATTTTATGTTGTAAGGTTGCTTTGTTTGTAAATATTTCTCCCCCGGTTTTCCCTTTTCTACAGTCCCTTGCAAGTTTCGAGTATGTCGAGCCAAGTGGAAAAGATGTGGGACTTAATGTGAGAAAAAAGGCTGAAACCATAGTTGGACTCCTAAATGACAAAGACAAGATACAACAAGTACGTGATAAAGCTGCCACAAATCGTGAAAAGTAAGCTCATGCATTGGTTATAGTGTTTTGTTATTTTCCTTAGAATCTTTCTTATGCTTCTAATTTTTAACACTGGATCCGTGTTTACGGGCTTTGCATTTAATTTTCAGGTACGTTGGAGTCTCATCATCTGGAATAACATATAAGTCTGGTGCAGCTTCATTCCGTAGCAGTAACTTTAGGAGTAGTGATCGATATGGAGGTTTTGGAAACAGTAATACATCTTATGATAGTTATAAGGGCAAGTCTCAATTTGGTGAAGATATATCCGAGAAGAAAACCAAGTCAATAAAAGAGCCTTCTTACTATAGCAGGTTTGTGTTGCCACATCCACATTACATACACAGTGTTGCTGATAGAGGGTCTCTTTTTGAATTAGGTGATTTACATGAATTAGGTGTTTTCAAGCCTTCTTTGGTGTATAATTATTATTTTTTTACACGAATTAGGTGTTTTCAAATCATGATGTGGTTCTTCCTGTTTTACCACAATAGTTCCCATTTTTAACATTTTTAATAACAACATTCGGACCGTGTGCCAATCCCAAAGTTTGGTCCTTATGGTTATTTGCTGATTCACCTTTCGAGGAAACTTCAATCAACCAAATTGTTTCTGCCGTTTTGAGCTAAAAAGTCGAATTTGATCTGTATAAGGTTGTACACCGGCATTATTTTTTGTTGAGATATTTCACGGTTTTCTAGGTCCAGCTAATAAACTGTTCAATAATATATTTCTTCTCTCTGTCCATTTCATGAACATTTTGCAGCAAGAAACAAGACTCAACAAAAACAGGCCAGTTGGATAAACATGATTCAGTTTCCTCGAAAGCTGACCCATCAGACAAATATGATGAAGATTTTGATCCACGGGGGACTTTGAGTTCTAGTATGCACCAACTTTATAAGTTTTTTTGTGTATTGTTATGCTGCAGACACTGAAATTTGATATTCTTTATTATTAGCATAGCCCGAAGTTTCACTTTGATGACAACTATCTGCATGAGATGCTATAGCCACCAACATTTCTTGCTGTACTTTTATGTAATACATCACTTAACTGGACAGAGGGTTATAGTTTTAGCAGGAATTGAATATTCCTGTATTTTGATTATCTTTGCTTTTGAACAGAACCTTCTGCTGGAAGTAACCAGGTGGATCTGTTTGGGGAAAATTTTGTTGATCTATTGGATGCACCAGTACCTATTTCAACAGATAAGTCTACTTCTTTGCACAAGGATTCTTCGGAGGTTGATTTATTTGCAAATGCAGATTTTGTTTCAGCAACACCAGAACCAGGGAAAATCCCCATGCCTGCGGTAAGAGTTCCTTGATCATACTTAAAAGAAAAATATTTTTAATCACTGTAGTGACATGGAATGCATAATGAAACAAACTCTCTCTCTCTCTCTCTCTCTCTCTCTCTCTC